AACCATTCTAGAATAGAAATATAATAAATTTAATGAAAATTGAATCCTTATGGGCAGTGAATCTTGTTAAATTAACATTTATAAGGTTTAATGTTTATCTAACGTTGCTGTCTCACCTGTGACATAAAAAAGAGCTTAATCAACAATTGAACCACAGCTTGACACAGGGCCGTCCGAAGGGGGGGGGGGGCAACCGGGTCAAGTTGACCCGGGCGCCGTAGCAAATTTTGTTTGTGGTCTTGTAGGTTTGCATGAATTGTAAAGGCTATCAGATTATGGCGTTAATAAATACGAATCTGAAAATGAGGCTGTAGTTAACAATAATATGTAACACTATAGGTGTAATCAAAATGTAAACGTAATGTAGTATGAAGCAAACATATGCGAATGCGACTAGTACTGGGGGGGAGGGGGCACCGCGACTACATTTTCTCCGGGCGCTGACAACCCTAGGGACGGCCCTGGTTGACAAAGCGTTTCGACATCCACATCATCCTAACAGTTTCTTTAGAACCGAACGGCTGCACTTTCCTGATAGATTCCGTTTTCCTAAAATTCATTCGTACGGACATAATTCATTTGAAAAAAATAGAAAGAATTCAGTAATAAAGTGAATTACAATTAAAAAACTGAGAAGACAAAATGTTTAACCCTCCTCTAATAGTAAGGGGTTGTCGTCAAGATGCTACCCCAACAAAACGCCCCCATCTAGATGACCGAAGTGTTGGGTTGACTTGTAGGTTGCAATTTAAGTGCCGTACCGACAGTATAGTCATTAATTAAAATATATAGTACATTTTCCTTACGTCCGCCAGTAATTTTAATACGGGAATATGCTTTATTTCTTCTCATAAAACCTTTTGTACTGCCGTTGATTATGGACGCTAACTGACTACAAGTACAGGTAATGTATCATATATAAAGAGTGATTCATATGATAATATTTCTTTGTACTATTGGTCGCTGATTACTGTACAGAATCATCTTTTTCCTACCTGCATTAATCCATTTACACTATCATCGATTAAAGACGCTAACTAGAGCTACAGTTAAACATAGTCAAGCTATAGTCAAATTTGAAACTGAATTGAGTACCTCATCTGAAAGGGCTTTCTGTTCAGATACAAAGTCAGTTGTTGTCATAGAATAAGTCAAAACCAAATACAGCAAAGTATTTAATTTATATATTATTAATATATAAAATATTCAATTTATATTAATTAATAAATCAATATTGTAAAACATTAATATGAAATTAATACTATAAAATATTTATATCAAATTATACAATATTAATATAAAATATTAAATTATATTAGTAATATGGAACCAAATCGATTGTATCACTGAAAAATGTCGATAGTTCTCCAGCAATATCTTTATGAAGACATTGGTGTTTTGGCCTGATATTTTAATCTGACGAGAAACTGTATTTCTTACTTATTAAATATTTTAATCTGACAAGAAACTGTATTTCTTACTTATTAAATATTTTTTACAATGAATTAATACATGAATATTGTTATTTCATATGCTAAATAGCAATTCGGATGTGACTAATATACAACGATTTGTTTATAAAGAAGAGTGGAGACAATATAACCTAAATATACTGTCAAAATGCAACCAGTGAAATTCCCAATCTGTGTGGACATTAACACCTTCAAGCGAAAAAACACTCGATTGTGTCAACATTTGCATTATCTGTGTGGACATGTGTACTAGCTTTTGCATTACCTGTGGGGACATGACCGACTCTTGCATTAACTGTGGGGACGTCCACACAATTTTAATGATTTTTTTTACTACATTTAGACCAGTAAACAAGGAGTGTTCTTTTATTCATCTTCAATTTGAGGTTAGAAAGAACCTAGGATATTTTTTTCAGCCGTGTGCCTTGATGTCCACATAGTTTGGTTAAAAACCCATGTCCACACAAGTATAGGGATGGCGTGTATGTGTGTCTGTGTGTGTGTCTGTGTGTCTGGATGTGTACAGAGCTAGGGACTACACCTGTGGTCCGATTTCAATGAAATTTGGTATGTAGGTTCTAATCCGTGGTATCTCCAGGCGTTTTTTTCATTTTTTTTAAATTTTGATTTTTTATGGGGATTTTCCCATAAAAACCCATAAAAAACTGAAAAAATCGGATTTTCTCAAAAATGGCCCGAACGATTTTGATAAAAATTTAGTATGTTGTAGCCCTTTAAATTCTGAACAAAATGGTACAAATCCCATTTCTGTAAAAATTACGGTTCAAAAGTTATGGTAAATTATGTTATTTTCCCATAAAACCCCCATAAAATAACAAAAAATAGGATTTTAGACAAAAATCCGGTTTTGATTTAACAGAGTATGTTATGATCCTTACAATTTTGATAGTTTTTGCCATTTTTTAGAAAATTTTATTTTTAATGGAGATTTTCCCATAAAACCCCATAAAAAACTGGAAAAATAGGATTTTCTCAAAAATGGCCCGAACGATTTTGATAAAAATTTTGTATGTTATAGTCCTTTATATTCTAAACAAAATTGTACAAATCCCATTTCTGTAAAAATTACGGTTCAAAAGTTATGGTAAATTATGTTATTTTCCCATAAAAATCCCCATAAAATAACGGAAAATCGGATTTTCCCAAAATTGGCTAGAACGATTTTGATAAAAATTTAGTATGTTATAGTCCTTTAAATTCTGAAGAAAATTGTACAAATCCCATTTCCGTATATTTACTCTCACCGCTTACTCATGAGAAAGGTTGTTGACATTGACAATCTTATGGGAGAAAGTATGTGTCAGAATGCTGATACCGTTTATTTAATTCCTTTTCAAAATGTAAGTCTATCTCTTATTCAGATTTAAAAGTTATAATATAGTGGGAGTTCGTTGTGGATATTTATTATCTACTAATGAAAATGTTTATGGCTCTGATAAGATTAAAATGATTGTTACAACAACATATGCTGCGCTCTGGTTTATCAGCCTTCCTATTTTAATTCATACTTAACTGACTCTAATACTAAGAATAGTATTAAAGATTTATTAATATGAATATAGCATTTAGCTAAATTGTTAAAGGAGAAAACAATAATATGTTCTTATGAATTGAACTTTTACATAAAACTAGTCATTGATAGTTTGTTCTAGGCTATCTATATAAATGACATATTCATATGTCAATCATATGGTTAATGCAATAATAACGTGGTTACAAATTACTACTGTTATAGGTACAAAAACTAAAATTACAAAATTGTTTCAACAGGATGTTAATGACATTGAATCGTTTAGAGGCCTACTATGAAACCATATGTTTAGATTATGTCATAGGTTCAAGAAACATTCGATACTGTTCTAAATTCTACAGCTGTTCTAAATTCTAATGGTTTGATTAAACATTTTTTGTCATTCTGCAGCGAAAACAGCTGTTTTTAATTAATACATCTGTTGCGGGTCTAAAGCAGCTCTTTATACACCCTAGGGAGTAAAAAGCGGTTCAGTGCCTAGGGAGTAATAAGTCATCTGTTATTAACTCAGTTATAAATTTCAATTATATAAGCAATTGCATGTAACGAAAGTATATATCGATTGTTTTAATCAGTACCTTATTGTTACCTTTTTTACTTTCTCCCCCCTATACATAGTATATGGAGAAAGTATTGTTTTTGTCAACATTTTCGAGTTTGAGTTTTGAGTGGATGTATCTGTTTAATTGTCAATAGTTTGACATATTGATAGTATAACATACACAATCGTTTAGACAAAATAATTGAATCAATTACTAAAACACCTGCTTGTTTGAATTAGAGAAATTGAAAACAATTTAGAAGTCGTTTAGAGTTATTTTTACATGGAAATTATTTTAGTTTTTTAACTTATTTTGCTTAAATAATAATGCATACAGTTCTAGGATACAGAGAATGAAATAAAAATAATGATTTTTGTACTTAGGTATTTTCATTTAACTGTAGTTCGTTTCTTGAAAAAATATGTAGAGCTTTACATTGGAAACGAACAAAACACCGACTGGCTCGGCGCGTTCACTCATTTCCCTGCCAGGCGCCGACTGGTTGGCCCGCGAAATTATCTGTTGTCTCTGTGCTAATTCAATATTTTAAAACCCTCAGGAGCGGTTCGGATTTTTGACGTTTCAGATTTTTGACGTTCGGATTTTCGACTCTCTACTGTATAACTAGAACACTGATATAACAAAACTAAATACATTAAACTGAAGAAAAAAAACCTCATGCTAACTGAAGTAGAATATGATAACAATTATAAAGAGAATCGATAGCATGCACATCTTGAAATAAAAGCCTCTGTAAAACCTTCTTGAATACAATATTTTAGATTAGTAGGTAGCACAAAACTCGATAAGAAGTCAACCTTGATATGAAGTTCAATTTTATAAACCACTAAATAGTTTATGGATGACTGCAATTGATGACTTAGGTGTGCAAATACTTTTTGGCTATCCTATTGTGACTAAGCAAGGATAATAGTCTTGTGATCATTTTGGCGACTGAGAGAAAAAAATCCAGCAAAGCATGCTTGCATTCCACCATGAGTTAAAATATGTAAATTTGGGAGCACAAAACCCCAAAACAAAGAAGAGCAGTTGACTTATACCTGAACAGCAGAAGAATAATGGGAAGGTAGCTACAGTACACAGTTTTCCAAAGCCACAATATATGAGTTTAACTAACAAGAACATCTATTGATGTAGGACTTGTACTAAATCTGAGATACTTGGTCTACACAATCTTTATTTCTTGATGACTATAATGAATGAAAAATAAAATTAACTAATGGCAAGATGTAGTCTACTAAAATGGTTCCAAAAGATAGAGCCCAAACATGAGAGCGCAAACTGAAATGAATAACTGAAATAAATAATAAAATGTTTCAATATTGAAATGATGAGAACTAAGTCAATAAGGAATGTTTGATGAACATCTATCTCAAAACAAGCATGACTGTGGATTGAATTTTATTTACAAACCTGAAATCGCTTGTTGGAGGTTCTCAGGAATAGCATGTCCAAACACAACTAAAGGTTCTTGGGAACTGGGATCTAAGAGTTAAAAACAAATTCATACCATAAAAACAATTTAAAATAGTTCAAAGTTATTTATAGACTTCAGCGATATATTTTTCAAACTCTAATTAGTAGTAAAATAATTTTAAAATACTGGTTTATTTTAAATTCTATTGACCGTTTCCTCTTTTATTTAGTAAAATAATATAGATGTTTTTAATTATTTTAAACTTGTATGATTGATGCAATATTTGCATGTATTTTTTGTAACATTTTATGTAACATTTTACCCATACCAATTTAGAATAGTGCGAGTTCTCAAAGTCCTCATAAATACATGTGCACAAGACTGTAGGCCTATTAATTAAAAATTATTTTTAACACGAGAAAGTAAATAGGCAATAACGAGCAGATTTAAGTGTAAAAAAGGTTTATACATTTTTTTTTATTAAAAATTATATCCCCGTCAACACTTTTCTTACACAAACTTTTGATCAGGTTGTTTTGCTTCACTGGATGGATCTATAATGAGATAATCAAACAATCCACTTTATAAAAAGAAAACATGTCTGACTCACATTCTACGCCCAACTTTGCCTAACACTATACAAGTCGACACCAAACAACCAGAAATAAATGTATCAATGATTTACTAAATGCAGAAAAAGTTGACACTAGCCACTAGGCCTGATTTGGTGCTTTGATTGACAAACATGGACAGCGACCATAATTTTCAACTACCTGGCACAGAAGTAATAAAATATCGACTTTTATAAATGAATCTCTAAAAAGATACCTACTTAAAATGTGTTCAGAAACTTAAGTCCAGGAAGCAATAGGAAATAGGAGTATACGAGTATACAAATTGACCGGTAGGCAGGCCTAGGTCTGCTGTAAGCATTAAGCAATGCATCCCAAACCACAACAGGAAACGCTACTGCACCTACTTATCTTCTTAGCTCTACCTCAATAGCCAAAGGCAACCACAAAAATAACCTCCGTCCTGTTAAAAGAAAACCAAATAAATTGGATCTATTATGTGGTATGTACAAATATCTACCTGTAAAAGCAGCATACAACTCTAGTAAGTTAGTAGGCACTACTCCTTAGATTAGTTACAGACCTGATAACAAATTGTACAGTGAACAATCTGCAGTTCATTACTTACTATACGCTCTTCTGAAGTCTGCAATTTGTGAGCGGCTGTAGACTCCTCTCTCTTCCCAAACGTCAAGCAGTCTGTTGATATTCTTTTTTGTCTTGTCATTATGCACTCTTGTACCAATAGTTTCGAAAGCTTTCTTCAGTACAGTGCCAAACTCTTTCCCATACTCTGGTCCTTTCTTTTTACTGTTCTGTATGACATCATTAGCCAAATACATGAGTGTAAGTTGCCTTCCTTCATCTCCTGAAATGAAGACTTTTTTTAAGAAAGGAAGTAAAACTTTGTGACGAAGCTATTACTGGTTAATCATTCAAAATTTGATCATCCTGATTTATTTTTTGCATGCAACATAAACAATTACCACAAAGCCATTTTTAAAATAATTTTTACCAGGCCTACCATAATAATAAAATATGTAAAATTTTACTAGGTATTAAAATCAGATGAATTGAAACCATAAACCATTTCAGGCTGTGACGGCGATAAGAACCTGCGGGCCCCACCTCAAGTTTGTTCACCCCCGGGCCCCTCCCAATAATCTTTAAAAACAATACATTATCACAAGTATTTACCTAAACTTGCAATTTTGCTTGGCATGGTATCTCCTGAGGAGGATTTGAGGTGTCATCATCGTCTTCCATGGTCGTGACAAAATCATGATCGCGCAGTCATGAAAACATTATCATAGTCTATCACGATTGCAACCAAACCTAGGAAATCATCAGATAACAGCATCATGTTTTCCACAATCGCGGCAAAATCCTAGATATATCTCCTGCGTGAAAAGAAACGTCACCATAAATCATCTTCTGCAATAGCGTCAAAATCTTGAATAAGTTATCTCGCACGGTCAAGGAAATATTAAAATTGTCTTATGGTAGTAAAATCTAATCATTATCGTCTACCCCAATCACAGCATAATATTAAACATCTCCCGTGGCCATCATTGGTACCCGCAAGGAAATGTTCTCGTCGAGATCCGCGATCGTGGAAAACCTTGTGGTCGTCATCCTTGCTGTCAAGCTCTTCGGTCGCAATGTAATTGCGGACATAAAATCACGAGGCTTTAAGTTACTGTCTTTGTCCTTGATCTCTCAAACTTGTAGGCTAGACTTGGCTCGCCTCGAAAATTGATAGGCTATTCTAGGCCTAGGCCTATATACTAAAAATCAACAGTTTCCAAAACAAACCGATTCTAAACCAACCTGATTTTGACCCAAGATGTGAAGGTATTTTTTTTTTTAATCTGACTCAAAGTACCTAAACAAATCTAGTGTGCAGCCTCCTAACAGTATCAATGAAAGAATGGATTGATTTATTTAGCTAGTGTCCTAGGCTCCTAGGTTTATATGACGATTTGATCGTAAAAAATGGTCTAGTTCATTCATTTGAATTACATAGATGGGCCTCTCTGGTGTGATCCACCGGGGACCACATTCATTGGTCCTAAATATGAGCAGCCTAGATTATAGCGCCTTCACGCAGGCTACGAGGACAGTTAATGCCAACCTAGACATGACTGATGTCAATTTTTTTACTTAGATTAGAAGAGAATTTCTTTCGATCGGTCAAGTAGGCCTAGTGTCAGTTTAGCTGTTGTAGGCTTAACTACATTTGTCCTAGCACTCCTTGCTGTTAAATTACGTCACAACAAAATTAGGCTATGGTATCTTTAATACACATCATATATAGCCTATATTGTTGCGTTAGAGGGCCCATGTGGCAGAGCCCGTCGCAGGTCAAGTGGGCCAGCATTAGTTGCTTGACTAACTTATCTAAGATAAATTTGATAGGTAGGCCTAACTTACTTGCTAGGTTTTGTCCTTAGGTAAAACTAAGCATGTTTTTGTTAGCTTAAAAATAATTTTGTGAAAATGTCTGGAATTACAAATTTTTTATTGGGGACCATTTTTTATAGGCCGATCGTGGTCTTTACGTGTTTGTAAGCATCTGCGGTTTTTTAAATATCTTGGCAATGGGTTAAGCCTATTTACTCTAGGACTCAAATAAAAAGCATTGAATTCGGTGCATTTTGGCCTAGGTACACATTGAATCCATTATCACTTGGCTTCATGGGCCTTTTCTAATTACTTAGGCCTAGGCCTATTATTTGTTTTAATTTTTTTTTTAATTTTAATCAAGAGGATTTGTCTAAGAATGGACAGTTTCTCATCCCTAACATTATTTGTGCTTTTACACTTAAGTTATGTAGTAGCCTAGGTAAGGTAACTTTGTGTAATTGTTTGTAAAAAATTGAAAATAAAAAAATCGGTTTTAACTTAAAAGCTTGTAACTCTTTAAGAGGTGAGTTAACTTCTCACTACCGGCACCTACTTAGGTACTGAAACTTTAAAAAACAACTACACTAGCCTACTGAAATGAAATGCTTTATTATAGGCCTACTATGAAGTGTAATGGCACAAATAATATTAGGGATGAGAACCTGTCCCTTCTTAGACAAATTATTGATTAAAAACTGAGATTTTTTTATTTTAACCCTCCGAGTGTCCCTTGTTTTGGCCTTAATGTCTGCCTATTTTTTGCTCATTTGCAAGGTTTTATTAAAACGGATCTGAGAAGCTTGAAAACAATGTTAATTATACCGTAGGCCTACTGTTCTATATATACCATTTTGTTTGGAAAATCATGGGCTTCAATATTATACATAGAACATAAGGAACATTTGTTTCAAAAAAATTTTTTTGGTAAAAATAAAAATATTTTGGAAAATTTTCAAAAAAAAAAAATAAGTTCACGCTCAATGAAATTGTATAAATTATAGGCCTATAAATATTTGAAAATAGCCACTTTGTTCTAAATTTTATGAGGATTACAAATATAATAATATAAGGAAGTAGATTTGCAAATAAATAAGTTATGGGCAAAAAACAGATTTCAGTACATAGCGTTTAGCTAAGAATGCATAGCCTAACCATAGCTAGGAATCTGGCTGATAATTTACATCAATATCACTACCTACTTCTTCAGGATCATCAACCAGCCCTTCAAAATCACTTAAATCTTCTTATAATGCACCACGTACCTATATCACTACTTTTGATTTTTAACACTAAAACAATGATAAACGTAATAAAACACATCAGTCATCGGTCCGAGGTTAACCAAGCTGTTTACAAATACGCACGTCAGCTGTCTGCTACAATATTTTCGGAACTAAATTGAATAGCGCTTAGAGACAGACCTCCGGAGAAAGCTCTGAATCTGTCAAATAAAACGATACCTAACTCGATCCAGTTCAATCCGATTTTGTCAGTCATAGAGCCTTCGCCGTAAACAGTGTTTATGAGTCGCTGCAGCGACACAAAACACTACACAAAGTGTAAATAACACTCGGAGGGTTAAAATAAAATAAATTTGAGTTAAAAAGACATAAGTTATGAAGCCAAGTGATAAGTTAATGGGTCGGATGTATGTGGAGTCCTACACTCTCCTCAAGGACCACGGGCGTGCATAACTGCATTTTACTTTTATCTCCCAATAAAAAAATAAAAAAAACAAACAATTTTGAATTCAAACAGCTGCTATTTTTTACTCAGTTGTTCCTTTGAGCTCAAATTTGTGGCATTGTATTCTAACTTACCAATAAAGATGTACATATGCTTAGGATTACGATTTTATTCTGTCTTCTACCGGGGGTGCCCCTGAAGAGTTAACTTAACTTAGTGTAGGCCTATAGGCCTACTAGGCTAGCATTGCAAATTCAAGTGTTAAGAATGTTAGGTTTTTAAAGAAACTTGAGCTTTCATAGGCGATGCAGACATATCAAAGATTTACCAAAGGGTTTTTCGTGTTGGCTATGATTTGCTTGTTACTTTGTTTACATTTGTTCGTAGGCTTTGTGATTCCATAGGCCTGGGCTTATTTTTAACAACACTGGTGCCTGGGTGTATTGAACCTTACCCGCTTAATGGGTAGGAGGTAGCGGCACTTAGGCTATTATAACTTAACTAAACGAAGCTACAGAAATTAATAATAGGCCTACCTTTCTGTAACTCTCGTGCCCACATCTTCACAATGGCTTCGTGGTGTTTTCTGTGATGGATGAGCCATAGAGACAAAGTTTGTATACTTTGTTGAGAAGCATTCAAATCGTCTAATTTCTTTGAAAGAGCGGTGTCTGTAAAACCAGCCATGCCTCCAATTCTTAAGGATAAATTAAATAGTTAAAAACATTGATGTGATGAGCTTTTCTGATGACACAAACACCTCACCTCTGTTACTGTGCCTAATATCTGTAGGTATATATAGTCAATGCTAATATTCACATAATGCCACCATGTCTGCCAAACTAATGTTACTTTCCACAAACAAAACAAAAGATCACTTAGCTGCAGCTCGATATTTTATTGATTAGTGATTTAGATTATTGCTGTGCTAACAAACTTAAAGAAATCCGAAAAAAAAACTATCACATCACCATTCATCTGCTATCACGCTATCGCTATCACTTTACTTCAACAAACTTCAGTAACTTCAGACTTCACCCTACCTTACACTTATTTTGATGTTTAGTTCGTTGGGTTGGTTGGACTAGGATTGGGATTGGATTGATTTCGATTTCACTTCTGACTTCACTGTCACTGTCACTAACTTGCAACTACACTCACCGGTCAGCACAATTTTTATTTCAGCTGCAGTTATTTTAATAAGAACAAAATGAGAGCATCCTATTGGCTGAGGGAACACCATTAGCGCAATGTAACGAGTTGAAGCCATCGGCCTCAGTGGTCTAGTGGATAGCGTGCCGTACTTTTAAACTTATGGTACCGGGTTCGAAACCCATCGGGTGCACAAACTTTTTGTCTAAGATTTTTGCATTATCAGCAAGTTTGGTTAGTTTTGTTAGGTTATAACAGTTAAATTTTATAATTAAAACCTTATAAAATTGAATTTGAGCTATGTATAGTTTTATTTTATGAACAGAACTATTTTTTCGATTAGTAAACCTTCATTCAATTTTTTCATTATCAGCAAGTTTGGTTAGGTCATGACAGTTTAATTTAAAAAAATTAAAAAATGTAAAATTTTATTTGAGGCGTTTATAGTTTTATTTTATGAACAGAACTATTTTTTTCTATTAGTAAACCATTATTCAATGTTTTCATTATCAGCAAGTTTGGTTAGTTAGGTTAGGTTATGACAGTTTAATTAAAAAATTAATTATATATTTTTTTAGTTTTAGGCCTATAATAATTTTTTTTTAAATTCTAATTTTTAAACTCTTATTTTGTCCGTATTAAAAAACTGCAGCTGAAATAAAAATCGTGCCACCGGTCATCGGCGCTCAGTACTCAACTCAGTCCGCTCTCACTCAATACACGACTTGTACTTGACTCGACTCGACTGAATAACTGCTACGAACTCGAGGGTTCACAACCATTCACAACCATCACAACCATGGTGGAAGGAAAAATAATTTTATAAAAAAAACAATAACAATCAAATCAAAAGAAATAGGCCTACATACTAATTTGACAGTTACTGGTATCCGAACGAGGAATCCCACAGGGCTCTGTCCTGGGACCTTTGTATTTCATCATCTACATCAACAACTTCCCAGACTATATGTCAACAGATAAAACTTGCATAATGTTTGCGGATGATACGACCATTCTCTACCCAGTATCTACAATACCTAATAGTGAAACAGAAGAAACCTTACAACTAGCTTCAGAAGTATGTTCCTCACTGAACCTCAAGATAAATAAAACTAAAACAGTCAATATAAACCTCTCAACAAAAAAACAGACTAACCCTCAGACTACAAGCTCAACATCAATCACAACTGTATCAGAAACAACATTCTTAGGAGTCTTTTTGGATGAAAACTTATCCTGGCAAAAGCATATTGAACATCTAGAAAATAAGCTGTTGTCAGCAACATTCGCAATAAGAAGAATATGCTCTATAACAGACAAAAAAACTGCAAAAATCGCATATTTTGCATTATTTGAAAGCCATTTAAGATTCGGCATCATAGCTTGGGGTTCTGCTGCAGACCATCTCATACAAAAACTGCTTACAATACAAAAGAGGGCCATAAGAACAATAGAACAGCTTCAATATGACGAACATTGCAAACCATTCTTCATATCCAATGAAATCCTTACCCTACCATCCCTCTACATTCTGGAAACCATCAAATTTTTGAAACTCAACCCCCCAAAAGTCAGAAATGATTGCCACAAACTTAATTTAAGAAACTCGAAACTTAACTATACTGTTCAACAACACAGACTTACCAAAACTAGTAAAAATCCTCAAATAATAGGGTCAAAGCTATTTAATATGTTACCAGAGAATTTAAAACTAATCCACAATGACAAAACTTTCTTGAAAAAACTAAAACAATATTTGCTAAACAAACCATATTACAACCTAAATGAATTTTACGTAGATCACAGCATCTACAATAGACTAAACCATTAAACTGCTCACAACCTACACTAATACACAAATACACATATACACATAACAAAAGAAGAATGACGATTCCCTGGTCTCACCCATGTAGCACAGATGGTTGGGCCAACGTTGGCCAACTGTGGGACAGTTGGTCGATGGTTGGTTGGAGCTTCCACAACCAACCAACCGTTGTCCAACTGTATATCTCGTAGTTGGGCCAACCAATATTTACAACTGTGGACCAACATTGGTTCATTGTTAATGAAATACATTAATATGCATTGCTGGGTATCATACATCAAGCCAACCGTTGTCTAACCGTTTTTCACTCCGTTGGACCAACAAAAGATACTTTTGTTGGACCAACAATGGTCCATAGTTGAGTTTACACGACTTTCATTCTCTGGGTCTAGCTTTCACAACATAATTATAATAAAATATCTGGTTTTACAATACCTTTATCAGTTCCAAAAGTTTCCAAAAGTTTTTGGAACTGATAAAGGTATTGTAAAACCAGATATTTTATATATTACAGTTCCGGCGCTACAACAATGAATTTTAATAATGCAAATATTTTTAAAATTAATATTCTTTAACTTATTTGCAACAATTTAAGGGGAAAGAGTAATTAATCATATAACAGGCAATTATAATAGCATTAACAATCTAACGGTAATTAATTAATCATTCAAATACCAGTATCCTCTCTAACTCCAAAAAAAAAAAAAAAACTACTTATGATGCCTTAACAGATTAACAGAATCATATTATACTGTGTAGTATCAAAAATGTTTGAAGTATTGCGACCATTGCAACTGTCGGCTACTCTTTCACCACTTGAAAACTCTCTATATCAGCAATCACAGATAGCTCAGTGGTAAAGTATGAGGCTCATAAGTCGAAAGACCCAGGTTCGAGACCCGTCTGGGCAAAAAAAATTTTGTTCTAGTTTTTTTTTCAAAATTTGTTTTTATGAACTATTTAATCAATTTACTCAACTAATAATTATGATTTCGTACTAAATCTTTATTATTTTGTGTGAAATAAAACGGTTGGACAATGGTTGGCTGGAAAACAGTTTAAAGAGGTGACATTTCTACCGTTGGCCAACTGTGTGGCTCCACAATTTACCAACGTTGGCCCAACCATCTGTGCTACATGGGCAACGACTACGGTGAAGAGGACCTAGGTAAAGGTAGGTAGGTAAAGGTAAAGGTGATCTTTTGTTTGCAATCCGAGTGACGTCAGAATATGACGGGAATATAGAACACCTATGTTTTTTCCTTCCACCATGCATCACAACAGTATCTCTAGTCACGGCCACCTTTAACTAACTAAAAGTGGCCGTGACAGTATTTCAGTATTTCATTACATTTTTGTGATAGAGGGTCCATGTGGCAGAGCCCATTGTGGACCCGGGTCCCGATAAATTTCCCCAAAAATCCTACTTTAAGGCCCACGGCACGGCCCCCCGGCTCACGGGCAACCGCACCCCGCTATTGAACGTAGGTAATACATTTTTACATTTTTATTCTATGGTTTTTGTTCAGAGATAAAAAAGGCAAAAGAAATGGATGAAAAAAAATATTTTAACAAACCACCCAGAGTCATTGTCACATACATGTATAAATATATATATTTCTTACTAGTCCTCGACTACGGTCACTTTTAACTCCTTGACTCAAAGGATTTCCCTCATAGCTTCTAAAAAAAAATAATATTATACAGCAGCATAATTAATTATGGCAGGCCTATTTAGTCACTAATAAATAGATTTTAATTTAAAACATATGTTAATTGTAAACTTGCTATTTACTTTTTTGTTTACCTTTTAAATAAATAAATAACGTCTTTATTCAAGAGCGAATTCCAGTTACAAAACTGTTTTACAAATTGACTCAAACTAAAGAAAACCTCTTATAACTACGAAACAAAATAAGATTAGTTACAAACTCTTTAGGCGATTCTTAAAATTGTTGTAAGACAGTGCTTTTAGCATTCTAGGAAGTGCATTGTACTGAGCCGGCCCGAAGTAAGAAAATCCCCTTCTACCAGCATCAAGAACAACTTGGTATGTCAAGCAACAAGTCCTTTCTAGTTCTGCGCTCTCTCACGGCCGACCTCGCTTTCAGTTTTTCCTTCAAGTACTGTGGTGCCTGAGTGACCAGTGTTTTGTGGACGATACATGCAACCTGCTTATCACAGCTCTCCCGGACGGACATTGTATTTGAGATCCTACGGGGACTTGTTATATATGATCATATTTTTAAGGTTGTATACGAACCTTAGGGCGCAATTCTGTAGCTGTGAAGTATTGTGATCTGTTCCTGTAAAGCTGTATCCAAAAACAGGTAGGCAGTAATTTAATGTAGGGAAAATCGCCTTTTCTTTCTTTTGATGTTGTACTTTTTGTCCATACGATAAATCCTCTAAAATTGTTAATTATATTATTTTTATTAATCATTGTACATCACCACTAACCACACTGGTGACCATCGACGTGATAATTGAAGCAACATTCTCTTTTTCATGTTTCAGCGTACAAAATGTTTTTAAAAAACTAATTGAGCTAACTTACAGTTATGAAACTGTGTACATGCATTTTGCATATACCTAAAAAACACGTAGTTTGAATCGATTAATTATCTTTTGGTGATGATTTTAAAATAACTTTCCATTAACTTTATATTGATTTTACGGTTTGGAGATAATTTAATTCCTCAATAACGATTTTCTGTCAGATTGAAGATCCAAGCATTGGTTCAGCTTAGACAGAAATAAAGGCTTACACATAGTCGAATTTTACCGGAAATATAATTTTACCCCTCCCAAACCCCTTAAATTTCGAATTTTGAAACTCGGTCTTATTGCTCATCAACACCATACATCGATATCCTATGTAAAATTTGATAATTAATTCTAGGCCGTATTTTGGTTAGAAACGCAGTTGTCTAAAGTGTCAGTCAATGGTATTATTTGCCTTTTATAAACAAGTATAAATAAAGATAAAATGGGCTTGAAAATAAAAAGTCAATTTAATACCAAAATATCAGTATATTCTATCACAGATTTATTATAAACGAATAATATATTAATATACATGGTTTAATATAACTTATAATTTAACTTGAAACTACTTAAATTTCGAATTATGATGTAGGTAACAAAAATTGAATATTACAAAATAATAATGCCTAGTATTGCCATTATTACAGGTCATAATGGTTACTGCTTTAAAGACAACCTAAACATTGTTACACTCATAAAATATTTTTTATTTGATTGATTAAGCTACAGTTTCGTTGTTTTTGTTATAAATTTATAATGTTGTCCATAATTATTGACTTTGCCAAGAGGTAACCTATAAATAAAAAAAAAATAATAAAAAAACTGGAAGGCCTAACATAAATGTTTTTTGGACAAAAATTATTTTCAAGATCAGCTAATATTCAAACATTTCAACTTATATTATGTAACAATATTGTAAAATTAGCAAATAAGTCAAAATATTAAAAATACAAATTGCAAAATACACGATATGGACAAAACTAACATCTAACAGTGATCTTAATGTAGGGAGAACATTAATTTATTGTTGCTAATTACTTTAAACAATATTTTATAACATTTTTGAGAAAGTCGGTGCATTAAATATAAATGAAAGATCAGAATCAGTCACAAACAAAAAAAAAAATAGAACATTTGGTTGTAACAGAACAAAAGTCAAACATAAAGAAAATGTTGAATGGCAATACAAGGGAACACGGGGTTGACGTGACAAATAAAGACATAGTTTTGTAGCCAAAATAATGATCAAGAAATAAATTGCTGGGAAGAAATAAACAAAATTACAAAACATAAAAAACACGACTTAAGTACTGAGAGGGAAAATCTCAAACAAATTAGAAAAGGAGGAGCTTTACCCAGTGAAACAAGGTTGGTAAGTGATAAGAAGACTGAAGACTACATTTGGTGTCCATACTTATGTAAAGTCTATTAACATTTTGTGTTTTATTATTCATATTCTCACCATAAGTAATATACAAAATTACAAGAATGATTTATAGTTATGATTATGAATATTATGATAGGAGTAATATATACAAAAATTTGAAGAAGTTTATACACATGAGATCTGAGTCACTAGGGTCTCCACATGAGTGAAGGTTGTGTCTGAAGGGGTGTAGGGGAAGGTCTTGTAGAGATGATCAGAGCAACTTCTCCACTAGGAAGTCTAGTCAGCCTCACACTCTTTCAGTATTGTGTTAGAAGGTCTATACATAAGATCTTTGAGTCACCAGGGTCTCCACATGAGTCTGGGTTGTGAAGGTTGTGTCTGGAGATGTAGGGAAGGTCTTGTAGAGATGATCAGTTCAACTTCTCCACTAGGAAGTCTCGTCAGCCTCACACTCCCTCAGTATTGTCTTAGAAGGTCTATACATGAGATCTTTGAGTCACCAGGGTCTCCACATGAGTCTGGGATGTGAAGGTTGTGTCTGGAGGTGTGGGGAAGGTCTTGTAGAGATTTTCAGGGCAACTTCTCCACTAGGAAGTCTGGCCAGCCTCACAATTTCTTGAAGGTCTATACATGAGATCTGTGAGTCACCAGGGTCTCCACATGAGTCTGGGCTGTGAAGGTTCTGGATGTGTGGGGAATGCCTTGTAGAGATGATCAGTGCAATTTCTCCACTAGGAAGTCTAGTCAGCCTCACACTCTTAGAAGGTCTATACATGAGATCTGTGAGTCACCAGGGTCTCCACATAGTCTGGGTTGTGAAGGTTGTGTCTGGAGGTGTGGGGAAGGTCTTGTAGAGATTTTCAGGGCAACTTCTCCACTAGGAAGTCTGGCCAGCCTCACAATGTCTTGAAGGTCTATACATGAGATCTGTGAGTCACCAGGGTCTCCACATGAGTCTGGGTTGTGAAGGTTGTGTTTGGAGGTGTGGGGAAGGTCTTGTAGAGATTTTCAGGGCAACTTCTCTACTAGGAAGTCTGGCCAGCCTCACAATGTCTTGAAGGTCTATACATGAAATCTGTGAGTCACCAGGGTCGCCACATGAGTCTGGGTTGTGAAGGTTGTGTTTGGAGGTGTGGGGAAGGTCTTGTAGAGATGATCAATGCAACCTCCCCACTAGGAAGTCTAGTCAGCCTCACACTCTCCCGCAGAACTGTCCTCTTGGTCTCGTTTTCGTGGGAATCTCTCTCTTCAGTTCCATCTCGTTTATTCTCTTTCTGTCCGCTCAGCCCAAGTCTGTCGTGAAGGTACTGGACATGCTTTACTGCTAGTTCTAAAATGTCTGCCTTTTCAAGTTTTGCAGCCTTAGCCTTTTCACTTTCCTGTAACAAAGCAACGGTTCAGTAGTTTTTTTTCGAGGGACGGTGTTTACTAATAATAGAATTGGGGTAGGACATTTACTACATTAAACAAAGCAGTGTACAGATGAAATTGGTACTTGAAATATATTAAGCGTCATTTTACTTATCGTGCAGTGATTATGCCGCTATACAGTAAATATAAATTTATATTTGTTTAAATCCCAAAGATGACCCGTGATAGTGTTAAAATGACCGTACAATATATAAAATTAAGGCATTAATAAAGACATTTTGATAAACATTTGAGGTAATGTGACAATTAACGAATGTAAAGCGTAAACAATGGAATGATGGTTTGCTCAGAAAATGTTTCACTCAAATGTGTTAAAATTTTCACAGCATAAACTAACACTTAGATAACAGGTCCACACCCATTTAATTACTGGGATATAGTTAAATAATACACATTTGCTGAAAATACACTTCCTTTACTGTAGGAAAACAGTCAAGTTTCACTTTGTGTAAGTGTAAGAAAAGGTTCAATACACCAACGATAACTACAGTAAAGTTGTAAATAGTGCTTAAACACGACTCTTGCTACCACAAGTTCTTGGAAAAAGTACCGGTACTGAGAACCGACGTCAAAATTTCGCTACGGAAAATTGGGTTAGTCTAAGAGTACCAATATGATGAGATGGACCTATTGGTCAATCGTCCAGCGTACATAGATGAGCAGCACAATTTTGGTGAGTCGAAACCGTAAACGACTAATTGGAAAAGAGATTTTATCAGCATCCGTGAACTTCTATCACGATCTCAACGAAATAGAGAATGGGATATTAACCTTGTTACTGACTATAAGATATTTTTGTTACCAGAATGGCAGTGGCTATTCGCACGGCAGACGTGCGCCGCTACCACGCAGGTCTGCTCCAAATGACGTCACATTACGTTCCTAATCTAGTAACTGTTATAGCTGTTTGGGAACAGGTTGCACACAAAGATATCCTAGTATTAGGAACGGTAACGGTAGTACCCCATATTATGATATTAGCCGAAATGGATGGGATCAACTGCATAAAGAGAAAGGTAAAAGGGTTTAATAGAGCCAAAGAGGTTATAAGCAAATAACAATTTTATTTTGTAATACTGGAACTGTAACAGAGTACTGGAACTGGAGCTGGAACGGGAACGGGCTGTAAAGCATTTTGACTCATGAATAGTCACTTCGTACCAGGCACATTTATTGAAAGCACAAATGCTCAAGGACATCTGGGTTTAGTATTCAATTATAAACAATTTACCTGAGTAGAAGACTCAGCCAATAGCCTGCGCAGCTCATTGAGACTGTCGTTGATTCTCGCTCTTCTCTTCTTCTCCATCAGTGGTTTCCTTATCTACAGACGAAAGAAGCATGTAAATTGATAGCTTACAGCAAACTGAGCATGAATATTGGTTTACTTTTTAATTTGAAAGCCATATCGACTCTAAATACTGGTTTCTTCACGATTCGTTGTAACGCCTTAACTTGTATTGCTGTTTTGATGCGGGAAAATGTTACAGGTTGTGCTGCTGTCAATGTCTCATTTATAAGAACTAGAGGTCGTCCAGTGGTAAAAATCTCGACCAAAAATAATTATGTAATGTACATATCTCTATTTTCACCCCACGCTGTAAATAAAACAATATGTAATTGGAATTTATTCCATTTAATTTGTTCTGATTTTCTGTAATATTTCTTCTATCTAAGCTCAGTGGTTGAATGTTTAAAGTGATCAAATTAAAGATTGCTTGATCGGTCACAATGGAAAACTATCCACTCCTGCAAAACTTCTGGTTGAATTTTCGATTGTCAGATTTACTTTTCCCTAATAACAATAACATTAATTTTAAAGAGTATTTAGGTTTGCTAATAAAGGGAAGGTAATTCTGATTATTTTTATTTGAAATGTTAATGGCTTATAATGAAATAAACACATTTGCCAAATATTATCAAAATATATCCCTAAACCATAAAACTAGAACTTTTTCTCCAATTAGAATTACATAGCAATAATTTGCAATTTATAGTTTTCTGGAATTTCCACTGTAAGGAATAAAAAAGTCTTCATTATACCGAATAATTATTTGTTTTTAACTTTACAAAATCGTTAAAATTAGTTAGGAAATAAATTAAAACATTTTATGTTTTAGGGGTCACTAATGGCAAACCCTAATTTTTAACCTATAAAACCCGCCCCCATAGTCTGATCATGCGAACTTGTTCGAATAAATTGTAGGTAAAAGTCGGTTTTTCGATGATTGTTTTCTTTGTCATTACATTTTAGTATTACATTATTCCTAGATAGTTTGTGCCGATAGTTACTTGGCCCAAAGAGATACAAAATATCAAATTGAATGCTGATTATAAAGTATGAAAACACAAATGCTGATTTTTTGTTGATATTTTCATAGTTAGTGTGAAAATTACTGCAGCCTTGAATCCAACTGAGTTGTTAAGATTCAAACAAGAAAATTGGGCAACCATCTTATCTTATCTCCCAAAGAGAAAACTACGAGTCGTTTAGACCTACTTTAGCTACTGTGAGCTAGTCTTATACAACTAAAAAATCTATTTTTGAGTTTTTCAAATAGTTAAGTGGGTAATATTAAAAGTGATTTAAATTATCGTCATAAATTGGAGTATAGGAAAAACATAAATGTGTAAATATAAAAAATGTAAATGTGTCAATGAATCAGTTATAGTTATAAGTAGTTATCAGTACTATAGTACCTAGTAGTTTTTAAGGCACTCGTTAAGGCTCGTACCTTAAATTTCTACTCGTATCCATAACACTATCTTTAAGCAATCGTCGCATACATTACTTTACCAACGGCCATTTTTTAATTGCTATAAATCACCACTCATAACTTCTAAGAGAGTTTGTGTTTTCGTTTATAACCTCTCATTGCCACTGACAAAAACAGTGATGCAACGACTCATTGTACCAATCACTAAAATTGTACCATCCATTAACAATTAAATTGGTCTTAGCAGCTGATTATAGTTGAAGTTGGAAGCATTGCAATTTTACTTATTTTCTCTCGATGCCTGGACCTCATTGGTCCGTTACTCGAGCTGTTAAGTAAAACAATGCTGATGTAAGTAAACAATGCTAATAAGTTAATCTTTTCAATTCTAAGAACTGAACTAAAACGGCTAGTTAAAAAGACGGTTGTATATAAAATTACTTAATTAATGGTTCATAATAGACCTATGCAAACTGCTTTAAAAAGCTTGAATATTTTGCATTTAAAGGAGTGATGATTAATATCTTTTGATGAGAAAACACATTTGATAACTGAAACTGATAAAAAAATGTAAAAATCCTATTGTTTTAGATATACAACATAATCATACTAACTATAGTTTCTGCGGATAAAGTTTTGAAATTTGCTACCTATTATATGCTATTATCATAGTAACCAGCACGTGTGTCTATGATATTATTTTACTATAGAGGTTCAAGAGAACAGTAAACGTCAAAAATACTCAACATACCGATTATGGAAACATAAAAAATAGCTTTAGCTAATCCGTATAAGTAGGCCTATAACAAATCGATAAAAGTACATGGTGTTTTTAAAACGCAATCCAAAACTACTGCGAGACATGTTTAACAACAAAACAAGGTTTTAAATTGGTATCTTTGTTTTATTTACTTCAATGCCGATCAGCTGATATACATTGTCGCATAGTTATCTAGGAAGTTTAGTATTATCGGGAAGATATTGTAAGACTAAATAAGACTCAACCTGGTGTTTCCCAGGCTTAAAGACTTAGAAGAAATAAGCAAAAGAAAATAATTTGTTATATGCCAAGAAAGGTTGAAAATTAGATTTCCATGTGAAATTCCAGTGACTGATTAATCAACTATTATTGTCAGGAACAAATCGAATCAATCCAGATCTGTATTAAACAATGAAAAAGTATACATACGATACATGCTCTATCTGGGTTTCATCGAATCATCATGTTGAGTCTTTTCCTACTGATATTAATAATGCAAAAGTATGGATGTTTGTGTATAATTCTGAAGTTCCATCACGTGAAAACTACTGGACCGATTGAGCTGACATTTTGCAGAGTGGTACTTAATCGTCTTGAGAAACACATAGGCATATTAAAATTGACCATGTTATTCTTATGAGTATTCATATTTAAAAGGGATTAAAGAAAAGTTGGTTCTATGATATTTAATAGCATTAAAAAGTTACAAGGTTTACCATCAGGGTGCAGCACTATAACTTCTTTTGCATTTATGACAGAAGCTAATTCAAACCACAGACTAGGGAACAAAGCAGCAACAAAAAGCTGTGTTACACAATGAGAAATGTCAAAGTAGGATTGTTTACAGTTATGTTTATGTTTTTAATTTACTAAATAATTTGTAATATTGCATGAATGTGTGATGATTTACTTGTTTTCTATTGTTTAACATTATGGCTATGGTATATGTGTTATACTATACAATACCATAAATTTAAAGAATCAAATTTTCTCAAACGTGTCCTCCCCCATTGCAAACGCAAAGCGTGAGTATCTGCATTAATAATTTTATAGTTATACGCCAACCCCGTACGAAGGACGAGTATTCTGTTAGTTTGCGATAAATTCATGATTACAATAAATCTCACAGATAACTATGCAACAATGCATATCAGCTGGTCGGCAATAAAGTAAAGAAAACAGGGATACCAACGTATAAGCTTGTTTTGTCGCAGTGTCTCACAGTAATTGTAATTTTTGGGTTGCGTTAAACACCCTGTATTTCCAATCTACGCTACTAAATGGTTTAACAGTTTACTGGTGAACGATTAACCATTGCTGATTCATGTTCTGACATACCTTTCTGCTGGTGGAGGTAACTTCCATCTTGACAGAGGCACACTTACAGACTGTTTGTGGAGTAGAAGATGAGGTCCTGGGTGATCATGACAATGGCTCTCCCCACTCCTACCTTCCATTCATGGATCCAGGGAGGACCAGCTTCACCGTTCATTGATGAACAACAAAAACTACCGTAGTAACCGGCATTCAATTGTTCATGTCTCAATGGGCTTCGTTAGTTGTAGAAAATATTCACAAAATGTCACAAATTACTAGCTACAGTAAGGAGTGCAAACGATTATTTATATAAAGTTTATTCGTGTTTTGCAACGGGATTTGATCACAGTTTATAAAGCTAGTAGTTATTTACAGCTTTTTAGGTAACAGTAAATTACTAGAAAAACTTAAAATAATTGGAATATCTAAAAGAGCCCTTAATTGGCATTCTTCCTATTTGACAAATAGATATCAATTCGTGGAAATTAAACATTTGACAAATCATAATAGAATTATCAAATCATCATCAACTTATCAGCCAATTAAAATTGGGGTGCCACAAGGTTCAATCAACCTTTGCCTTTTATGTTACCTTAAGGGCATGGACGATACATTAACCTACAAGAAAATTTCCCAATTTTGTCTTTGCGGTGATGATTCTGATGTGATTGTATCATCTAACTCTCCAGAAGAAACTGAAATGTTTACATATGTAGAATTAGAGAATATTGGAAACTATTCCCACAATCATAACTTATTATTACATTCACAAAAAACTAAATTTATAAATTTTTAAACAGCACATTCAAAACAGCACAACCAAAAAAGGACCAACAATAACTTACAACTCAAATAACATTCAAAAGTAAAATCAAACCAACTTTATGGTTTTAAATATAGATGAAAACTTGAATTGGGATAAACACACACATAACATTTTTAGTCAAAATTATCTCCGGAATTTTCCCATTAACAAAAATGTATTTTTATTGTAATTTAAAAACCCTAAAAAGTATATATTTAGCTCACATTCACTCTCATCTTTCATTCGGTTTAGCATTGTATGGGCCAACAAAGAAATTAAATATGGATATCATTCTGAAGCAAGAAAAAGAGTCTATCAGAATTATGCTCAAACTTAATCGAGAGGATTCGGCAAAAGACAATTTTAAGAAATTACACATTTTATCAGTTTATGGGTAGTATATTTATGAAACAATTTTTACAGCAAAAAATCAATCAGAGGAAATAATAAATAATTGCATTCTTATAATTACAGGAGGAGAAAGGAGTTTGTCCAGCCTCACAAGTTAAACTTTTTTGAAAAAACCCTCATAATCTGGTAACGTTTTTCTTATTTGCCCCTGATTTATAAAAAAAGAAACAGACCAATCAAATTCAAGAGAATTCCAAAAGATTATATAATCAATTTAGCATTGTATCCTTTTTATGAGTTTTCCACCTCCCAGATATAGTATTTTTATTTTATCTATTTTCGACACTATCTTCGACTTCACTGTACCACCAATGTACAAGACTTATGATGAAAAATGATGTTTGAATATACTAAAAAGTAATTTCCCTACACATTCTCATCCTATCAAAGTAGGCGTGTTCCGACGAGACGTGAGACCAGCAGACCATGGTTGCTTTGTTGGTTTTGTGGTGATTACCGAAAGCTGTTGACGCGTGCAGTGCTTGATTGGAACCCGAACCACTCGGCGGAACCGCTGTCCTTGTAAACGAGAGTTTAATGGCTATCCTCAGTCTTTTGACTTTGTATATGTAAATACTTTAAAACAAAGTGTCCAGACGGATGCATAACTGAGTAGATTTCATTTTAAACCTTCATTTTCCATGAAACTTCGTAGTTTAGTAGATTTTGCTTTGTAAACTGAAAATGCAAATGTATTAGGATTGACTTGGGTTTGGGCATCAGACTTTTAATCTTATTGGGAAATCTGGATTCTGTTTTGACGTGTTTATCTCATTTTAGGTTACATGCTGCAATGTGAGCTTTACACTAGTTTTACAAAGGAACATATCGGCTTTAGTCAGTAACAAGACTACAAGATCATCTCTATTCATACTTTGGCTTAAAATACCTATGATTACTTAATAAAATTACTATTACTATTTAATTACTATTTCTATGGTCGCTATTTCAATTAAAAGTATTAAAAGTATTCCCCAGAAGTCATTGAATCAATGCATGCAAATATTGTCAATCCGTATAAAATTAAGTCATTTCGAATAGTGGTGTAGTTAGCTGGTGTAGTTAGTTGGTGGTTAGTTGTTAATTTAATCAAATTAATACCTGTATATGAGTTCAATAAATACCTAGAGACGTTTGTGCATAATTTTCATTTCGATATCGATTTAGAGGCTCCCCGGGTTTTCTGTTACCATGTTATTCTAACAAGAATTTCATACTTACTTGTTATTTACTATGAGAATATTATAGAAGTTATATTTCTACATGTGTGGTTTATTTTTTCCAAATGCTGTGTATATACACTGTCATTCAGTAATTAAATAATAAAATATTAGGAACATTTAACCTGTAGATTCTATGGATGTCTCGTTGTATACGTGACACACGGAAATCTACAAAGAATCGTAATGGTTACACCATAGCGATTTTCAGCAACTACGAAGGGCTTTTATATTCTAAGGCCAATGACACGTTTCTAAACACTGGTAACAAATAAAATGAAAAAAAAAAAACAATAGGTTACATAAACAATATTCATGTTCATTTTAGATGGGGACGCCACCTATGTGCGTATTTAACCCAAATATGAGTGTAGAATGGAGTATGATGCCTTGTGTGGCTTTGTTACTATGATCAGCTGTTTCAATAGTCAGGACCATTGACAATTTCTTCAAAGCCCAATGATCAAGGACAGCTGTTTTACAACAAGTGACGCGGGGTATTGTTCATTATGCTTTTATGGAAGTTAAGAAAGAAAAACACAGCCCTTTAAATTCAATTGCCCTAATTCTGCTGCATATACGAATTGCTTGAGTTTAGTCTCAATTCCAGTAACCATCATTTTTTTTGTCAGATTCTTCTTTAGCACCGTTGAAATTCCAAAATCGGTCATCGGTTGACGGTTTTGTCCCGCACCGGATGTCACCACCCTCCCCTGTAAAGTATTAGCTAACACATGTTTATTTTACAATAGACAGTATCAAGTTTCAGTACCTGTCAACCTGTAGCGCCCCACACCAGTGCACCGCTGGAACTATTTTTCAGGTAAACTGGGACTACTTTGTAGTTCAAATAAAATAAGAGGTAACGGTTTTAACATGGAGAAATTAAGAACTAATACTTCTTGGAGGGAGGGTTTTATATTTTCACATATTTTGTAGAGAAAATAGTCCCTTCCGAATTTATCCTTCCCCGTGGTTGACACACATTTTGAGTTGTTATCAAATACCGATTAATTAGTGTATTTATATTTAGTTCATTGACTAAATAAAAGTGCTGACCAATTTTGTGAATTATTTACACAACTATCAAACCATGATTAACTCAAAGTCCAGGAAAAAAAACATGTATCGTAGATCATCCTATTTTTGGTTACAACATAATCTAACTTGATACTAACTACACACTAAGTATGAATGAATAACCAATTCGTATTTAATTAGGAGCGATCCATTTGTTTGTTGTCCCTTGTTGTATCGATTGACTTTGATTTTTTTTATTAATTGTACATCAACTCACTACACTTTTAAACCACACGAATAAGTAATTTAAGGCATTGTTGCAGAAATGTTCCACCAAGATTAGGAAAAAATGAAGTTTTCACGACGTTCCGGGATCTACGAAGAAGTACATAGTATGTTCGAATAGTATAGTTATATATAGTTATAGCATTCAATTCAATTCCGATCAGTTTTCTTTGTGGACTAAAAAAACAATTTCCCTTCCAGAATTTACAGTTTTACACTAATTAATCATTTCACCTCAACTTATAACCCTAGAAACTCATTACTGTTTGATACTATAATTATAATGTTTGGTGGTGACGGTTGGTGGAGGGACGTCCCGGTCCTGTCAGGTAGACGGGAGACAGGAATGCAGGTTGTAACGGCTCCAGGACGAGCGTTACATGATGCAACGGGGACAAAACCCAGGAAACAGCGTCTCAGAGACACAGGTATGGGACAGTAGGGTGTCCTAGTTACCTAACGTGCACCCCGGGCCGTTCAGTAGGGGGTGGAGGTCTACCTTAGTAAATAAACGGTATCAGCATTCTGACACATACTTTCTCCCATAAGTTTGTCAACAACCTTTATCATGTGTAAGTGGTGAGAGTAAATATACGCAAATGGGATTTGTACAGTTTTGTTCAGAATTTAAAGGACTATAACATGCTAAATTTTTATCAAAATCGTTCGGGTCATTTTTGGGAAAATCCAATTTTTCTGTTATTTTATGGAGGTTTTATGGGAAAATGACATAATTTACAATAACTTTTGAACCGTAATTTTTACAGAAATGGGATTTGTACCATTTTGTTCAGAATATAAAGGACTATAACATACTAAATTCTTATCAAATGCGTTCGGGCCATTTTTGGGAAAATCGTATTTTTCCGTTATTTTATGGGGTTTTATGGGAAAATCCCCATTAAAAATAAACATTTCTAAAAAATAAAAAACTATCAAAACTGTACGGACTATAATATACTATATTAAATCAAAACCGGATTTTTTCTGAAATCTTATTTTTCGTTATTTTATGGGGTTTTTATGGGAAAATAACATATTTGACCATAACTTTTGAACTGTAATTTTTACAGATATGGGATTTGTACCACTTTATTCGGAATTTAAAGGGCTACAACATACTAAATGTTTATCAAAATCGTTCGGGCCGTTTATGAGAAAATCCGATTTTTCCCTTATTTTATGGGTTTTTATGGGAAAATCCCCATTAAAAATAAAAATTTCTAAAAAATGAAAAAAACGCCTGGAGATACCATGGATTAGAACCTACATACCAAATTTCATCGAAATCGGACCACAGGTGTGGT